TTAGGACAAGTTCATAATCACAACAACCTACCAGAAACCCAAAGAAAGCAGAAACTGATTTTGGGAGGCAGTTAGGTGAAGTTAGGTTAGTTCCAGTTAAATTGGTCAGAGGGAAGGTACAGAGATAACAGAAAAGGAGTTACTGAGATAACAGGAAAGTACCCATTTTAGTTGCAATGTTAGAATATAATTCGACTGAGCATTTAAGTTAATCATCAGCTGTATGTGCAGATCAATCTAACTATAACACATTAAATATTCTGTATGTACAGTAATTTGGAATTAGCCAAAAAATTCTCAGATCTGAAAAATTGGATGTACCAACAATTTTAGGATCAAAATAACTGCAGTTTTGGGAGATTTGAAATTCAATGTACAAAGAAATGAAGAGGATAGGCGATGAATTTACTGGAATAAATTTGATTTGGTAAAGCAATTTTAACTTGAGAAGCTTCAACTTAAACAGGGAGGTTAAACTGTAATTGAACAATGGCACATTCTGATAATTTTCATTTCACTGCAAAAATGTATTGTCATAGAATTCCATAATACATTCATGTGCACTACAATCCAGAACATAAACAATTGATTTCACTGACTTCATGAAGTCATTTTACACGTGAAAAGTCATTCAAAGTGCACAAAAGAAATTGAAAAGAATTGAGAAATTGTAGACTCACTCTATAACCTCGGATCCAGATGGCTTGGAATTCATGGAAGGTTTGGAACCCTTGGCAAGATAACTTTCAGGCTTTTCCTCTGGAATATTTGAAAATTTGCATTCAAAATCAGCATTTTCTTCTGCATTTTTGTCCAAGTCGTCCTGCAAAATCTCCCTGTCGCAGTCTTTATTTTGCTCGTCTTCAGCACCACCACCATCTTCACTTTCCTCTGCCGAGATTAATTCCAATTTTCTGAGTGTTGGTTGAAGAAATGTATTCTTCGTTGGTATAACATGAAAGTTATTATAAAAAAAATTGCCTTCAATTCACAATGAATTCACACCAAAGCCAAAGGTTTTGCATGTGGGCCATTTTAGCGTCTTATTTTCTTGTTGATGCACAAAAAATAATAAACGCAGGAAACTATAATGTGTAAATGGAAAATATTCGTAGAACCTCTCACCCATGTGAATTTATTCTTATATAATTCGGTTTAATAGTGAAGAAATTTGAAATATCATCCCTTCACTTTGTTTAAGGACCTCCAATTTGGCCAGGCATTTTTAAAAATAATTTATAATACAGTATTTCAAAAGTTTCTATGCGCATGGGTTCTAAAAAGCTACATAACACACTAGTTAATCCCACGAGGCTATTATTTTAATTTTTTACACTTTCCTTTACAGGAAAATCCTTGATAAAAAATGACATTGAGAAATTTTCCAAGCAAACTAAAGAAAAAAAATTGAGATAGGTTGAAATGCAGTCCATAAGCAGTTACTTTTCATTCCGTCTCTTTTCTCTATTTGTCAATTAAAAATGAACCAGAAAATTCAATAACCCTCATTTTTCCTGTTAGGTAATATTTTTGGTGAACAGTGGGACCCTTTCTGAGATAAAAAAAGAGATTATGAGATTATGCATATGTTTATCAATCATCAGAATCAGATTAATACTTTACATGAATGAATTAACATGTTCATGAAGCAGTCATGTTGTATCCAAACAGAGGAAAATTTCAGCACAACAAATAAGTACATTGGCCCCCGCCTAACAGACCTCCTGTGTAAGGGATTTTTGCCAAACAGACCAGCTCTGCAAGCAGTTTTTCCTCCCACCCAACAGACAAAATCCGCCAAACAGACTTCTTTTGGTTTAAAATTAGTGTTGAAAATTGAAATTTTTAATTTTTTATGTAATTGAATTCATGTAAAGGACTTTTTGTCTAACATACTTGTCCCTTGCACGAATCAAGTCTGTTAGACGGGGGTTGACTGTACCACTGGAATCTTTAAAAAAAACATGTCTGTCATAATGAAAAATGGGCAGCAGCATCAATGGACTGAATTCTCTTTTTGAATGAATTGCAACTGGAACTTGGAAAATATTTTTTAGCCATTCATAAGATACAATTTATAGCTTCCAAAGATGATGTATACGCGTGACTTACAAAACTTTAAAAAATAATTCAAATACAGAATTTAGAAAGACCAAATATGTTTTCTTCTCTTTTAATATACTGGACCTTCACACTCTTCAAAGTCCAACTCTGGATTGCTTTTGTTCAACCGTTTGGTGCAACATAGGATAGGAATTGCCCTGGCTTCATTTTCACAAGGCAAGGCGTTGACAGGAGATTCTTCATCCTCAGGAGATTGATTAGGCGAGATGTCCTGTCTTTCATCTCTAGAGTAATTAAAGTTTTGGTTTTTGGATCCAGACCTCTTCTTTTCTGGGCAATCTTCATGTCCTGCACTGACCCTGCTGGTTTGCACTGTGGTTGGCAATCTTGTCCTCATCCTACCTGCAATGCATAATATACAAGTTAGGGTACTTTCCTGTTATCTCAGTACCTACTTTCCTGTTATCTCTGTACCTTCCCAAAGATATTTGTAACTAACAAAACCTGACCCAGCCTAACTTTACCTAACCACCTCCCAAAATCAGTTTCAGCAGAATGCAGAAAAATAAAATTCAGTTTCTGGTAGGTTGTCGTGATTATGAACTTGTCCAAAAGATTTGTCTGGATGGTAGTGTGGTCTAGGAATGAGGTACTGAGATAACAGGAAAGTACCCAAGTTAGAGTGCTTGAGAATAAACCATGAATACCCAAGTGTTCTGTTCTAATATACGGGATTTTATTACCTTTCTGTTAAGGGTTCATCTTATTGCAGGTCTTCAAGTTGAATTTATAACAATTGAACCTCTCCATGTCAAATTTGAAGGTACCAGAAAAATTGACTTAGTTAGGTTATAACTTAGGGAGGTGACTTGACCCTTGGATGGCAGAGCATTCTTTTTCATTGTGCAGCACAGTTGGGATTTTTTGGGGGGCAGTGCATTTCAGTGTGACCCAAGGTCACTGAAATGCTCACAGGTTCAGAATGCCTGTATCAGGAAAAATCTGGGAGGCACACTTTCTATTTTTTCAGGATTCTCCCATGCAAATCCTTGAAAGGAAAAATGCCCCCCAGCAGTGAGGGATTTTTTCATTTAAATTCTCTGCAGGATCAGAAAGAAATATCATACTTTTCCCCCAACTTAAGGCCTTTCTACAGTAGCAGAATTTTTAAATTTCCAGTGCTCAGTGGCACAACATTTTGCATAAATATCCCAACTTTGCTGTACAAGGGTTAATAAGGAGGTTTTGAGTTATGGGCACATACATATCTTATGTTGTGGGAAAAACAGAAGAATTGCAAAAAATTGTAAATGGAGATATTCTAGGCCTCAAATTGTTTGTTAAATGACTTGACAGCATTTTTAACTTGGAGGCAGGGGTTCATTTGCCCAATTAGTCTTTTCCTTCCTATTGCTTTTCTCTTTCCTGTGCCAAGAAGATAATAGCCCAAATGCCTCAGAAAATTGGAGTTACTGAGGTTTTAGAAGAAAAGGCTTTGAGGTAAGAGAGCTATACATTATTGTTTCCAGGAGAATTCAGACAGCAATTTGAAAACATTTGACTCAGGGAGGTATTTAAATAATGGAGGATTCAACTTATTGAGGCTCAACTGCAATTTGTTCTTGCACATTAAATACCAGCATTCATAGCTTATTTAAAACTATAGATTTTAAAATATTTATTCAATCTATCAATTGAGCCAGCTAGTCAGCTGAATCACTTTTTCTAAATTAAGCTGATTATTAAATAATAAAATCAACATATGAAATTAATTTTCAGGCTTACCAGAATTACAGCACAAAGATGCACCAGCTCTTAGATGTTTCCTGTCAGCCTGATTCAAGACAGAAACACATTGAGCCTCAAACTTGGACCATTCTGACTCTGAGATCGATCCAATCCCCGGAGCTTCTGATTCAAACCTATTAATTATTGAGTTCAAAAATTTAATATGACTGAATTCAAGTTGGAAGAGCAATTTTTTTGCTCATCAGCAACGACCAACCTGAAACATGAGAGAAGTCCATCCAAACATTGCTTATCACTTTGACCAGCTTTCAGCACAAGTTTGCATTGAGTACAGCACTTCTCAATACCACTTTTGGATCTGCATGGAGTTGACGACATGTCTGCTTTCGATCATGAATTGCGACTTTCATTGTGCACATAATATTTCATTGGAAATCGTACTTGACCCCAAAGCACTGATAATTTTAATTACTATGAGGAAATTTGTTTCAAAAACCTTTATAAGGACTGACAAGAGTAAGCGTTATGTATATGCAGAAAATGTAAGACATCAAGAACATTTGGAGAATAACCCACAAGCTTCAAAAATAGTATTGATAATATGTACAAGGAGTAACCGGCGGTAATAACTGCAGATTTCGCCAATGACCACACTTGTTCCTGTTGTAGGAAATTCTTTATGAACATTAAGTTTCAATTAGCATCCCAGTTGTTGGACTGATTTTTTTTTTTCAGTGGTTTCAAAAACCTTCAGGATTACTTTCATTGAACATGCAGCAATGCAGCTTATATAAAGTAGCTTTATGGCACTCTGGAGAAATTTCCACATATGAGAATGCTAGCAATTTAAAATGGAATTTCTGGCATATTATTTCAAACTGCTGCCAATAAAAACAAGCGACGCCATTTTTTAATTACCAGTACAGTACTGTAGTCTGATCATGGAATATAATTTAATTTTCACCTGGATTTCTTGTATTTCCAGAGTTTAGAACTGCACAGCAGTGCTGCTGAGACCCTGACATTCATATGCCCCGACATATGGACGATTCGAGTTACAGGGACATTCTTAATGAAAGAATTTCTCCCGGACTATGCGAAGACACTTTTCCAACATTTCTATATAATTAATAGAATTTTTTTTTACAAAATTTGGATACCTAAATTGGGCTATTTTTTATAGTCTCAAAAAATTTTAAATGAATTCATGTTTAAATTTTGTTGAATTTGTAATTAAAAAGGTCAAATTTGTGCTTCATTTTCTTGAATATTCTCCATTTATTGACGATGAGCTGCACATGATGGTGTATGACTGGTATATATACTTTTTTTTTTGCTTCTTGGGTCCTTTTGGGGCAAAAAAAATCAGATATTCTGCGTGGTTTTCTTCTGCACAGTTATAATCTGTATCTTCGAGCTGAGGAGTAAATTTTATTCAATTTTTATTTCTATATGTCGTGATGGTGATCTGCTATATATACTGTATACGCTGTACGGTACAATAATAACTATAGCAATTAAATTAGTTCTCATTGCACTGGAAAAAGTGATCTGACATGCAGACATTACAAGATCCAGGCATCAATATTATGTTCCCGTCTTGGCGGGGTCTCACAACTCTCACTATTTGCATATACTGTATAGCAACTAATAACAGTACTGTACTGTACAATAATAAGGTGATGCGATCGGAGAGCCGGCCATTCAACTGAATCAACTGATAGAAGGAAAAGAGCGACATCTACTTATAAATATATTTAAAATTTATGAGAGTCATGTGACCCAAACATAAATTTTTAATGTAGAAGGCAGCTCTATTCATCCGTCACTGTTGATTACGTGTTCTTCGTTCCGCTCATTTCGTGTCAAATCGAATTGAGTTTTGTTGCGGGGCAGATGTGAATGGGTGCGTGAACCGCGTACGTGAATCCTAGCCTGGCCTTAGAAGTCGAGTGATGCATCTCCATTTTTGTGTTTGTATAATCATGGAGGGATATGATTCCATCATGCTTACTTGTAATAAAAGTTACATATGATTTTATTCCGCCGTTAGTGATAGTTCCGCGAATTTATCAGTGAACCGGTGATTTGATCTGCTCGCTTATAAGGGAGAATATGGAAATCAATGGATGATGAGTTGATCTACAGCTATCTGGTGTGTCCTCGGTAACCTGGACTGTGTGTTTAATCGGCTGTTCTTCTGGTGATTACGGTATGTTGCCCGCCCGGTCCGCACTTCTGAATCCGTGTGTGCAGAATTTCGTTAAAGTGTTTCAATGCCCGGGCGTTTTTCTCCGTTGAATGTCTGTCATTCGCTCGCATGTAAGCGTAGAATTGAAAATCTGCTTTATGTCATTGTAGGTGTCATCATTGCCGTTATTGACGTTACTTGCATTGCTGTTGAAAGGATAGTGCTGGTGTGCCGTTGCGTGCTTATATTGTGACGTACGGTACTTGCGCGAAATGTACGGCTCTGGTGGTAGAGGACCATCTATGTCTGGTGCAAACCAGGTCCCGATTGGAAGTTATGCTCCAGGTGGCAAGAAGCCGCCCGTAGCAAGTGGAATGGAGTCTTTATTGAATCCGAGCTATTTGCAATCGTTCAAGAGCGGCGGAACGTTGAATCCCCCTACACAATCCTCAACGAATTATAGTAATTGGCTTCCGTCTGGTGGAACGAAATCTCCGCCGCCACAGATAAAAGTTGAGATCAAACGTGAGCCAGACTCACTGGAACAAAACGGCGGATCCGGTGAGTAATTTTTTTATTTTTCACTTTTAGTTCAGTAATTGATGCATTTTATTGACAGAGAGGAAGAGAAGGAAAAAGTCCAGATGGGCGGAAGGAGACTCGAAAGTAAGCCTTGCGATGCCGACGGTGATCCCGGCGAATTTACCGAAGGAGCAAGAAGAAGCCTATCTCCGTAAGTTTATCTGACAATTTCGTAGTTATTCGTTCGAATCCGCGTGTTTCTTCTCCTGCGCAACCAACAAGTCAGCAGGGGCTCCCGAGCGCCGAGCAGCGTGGCCGCAGAGAAGATACACGAAGAGATTTTGCGATGTTTTCAGCTGTTTTTTCAATCATTGTCTAATATTATTTTGGGTCCTGTGGCCCTCTTTGTAACCATTTCTATCCTGCAGTGCAGTTCCAGATTGAAGAATTAACCCGCAGACTTCGAACAGGCGATCTGGGTATCCCCGTTAACCCGGAAGAAAGGTTTGGAGAAAAACCCTTCCACGCTCCTGATTCATATCCATAATTGATCAATCTTCTGCTTGGTTTTCATTTTGCCATCAATTTGTTCGTCGTCGAGGTGACACATGTCTGTTACTTGCTTTTTCCGACGGCGTAGTGTTACGAAACGACGCTGGAAATAATGACGTGGGATGTGCAGTAACCGTGATTTATCAACATCGTTTTTTCCCGCACAGATCACAGCTCAAGATAATCTTCGCTCAATTCTGTACCCATGCAGTGAATTAACGCTTTCCTTTCAGCATTAATATTGTTCCAGCTAAAATATCAAATATTTTAATTCCGAAAATGCTTGAATTAGAAATGCAGTACTTATTAATTCGCCGGAATTTTTTGTTCCGCATTTGATTGCAGGTCTCCGTCTCCTGAACCGATTTACAATCACGAGGGAAAGCGCATGAATACTCGAGAGTACCGCACTAGGAAGAAAATTGAAGAAGATCGTCACCGTCATATAATTCGCATGTACGAGATCAACAAGGAATACAAGCCTCCAGTTGATTACAGGTAAAGGATCTAAAATATATATTTTTAGTTAGTCCTCGTTATGAAGTTATCGAAGTGCCACAAAAAATTGCTGATTATTAATGTATATTCAATAAGATGGCTTCGATTTTCGAACGCAGCGCTGTTATCTTACATCAACCCTTGGATTTTAAAACGGATTGAAGCGCGCTGTAACGTTTCTTCATGTACTGTAACATGGAAACTGTGTCGCGTGAAATAATATTTACTGGAAAATGGGTGATTTTCTAATGCTTTGATAGACAGGTGTACTCTCCCTACACCAATTTTCTATATACTGTATAACGATTTATTTTATTTTAGCAATAGGGTTTTTTCCCCATGTTATAGAGGTTCTCTACGACGAATTTTTTCCTGGTCCCTCAAATTTCGTTTTTGAGAAAGTCCACCTGTATTTTCAATTATTTTCTAGACGTTGATCGTTCTATTTGTACCCTTCATTAACCGCCCCGTGAAGTACCGTAGTGATGTCAAATTGACCAAATACCTTATTAATCCGTGCGAAAAATGAAAAGAATTTGTCTTGTTTTGCGTAGAAACTGTTGATTAAATTTAAAACTCTTTCACAGCTTTCGATCAACTTCACGGGTATTTGATTTCCGTCGTCGTTGGAAACGGCAGATTTTTGAAAACATGTAACAAGTAAAATATATGAAATCTCCGAATAGATTCGTTAATATATGACAAGTGATCATTTTTGAATGCGCCATTTTTTTAGGCCGCCAATCATCAAAATTTCCGACAAAGTCATGATCCCACAAGACGAACATCCTGAGATAAATTTTATCGGACTGTTGATCGGTCCGCGAGGGAATACACTGAAAGCGATGGAGAAAGAGACGGGGGCTAAGATCATTATTCGTGGGAAAGGATCTGTGAAGGAAGGAAAAGTTGGACGTAAAGACGGAAATCCTCTGCCAGGTGAAGACGAGCCGCTTCATGCGTATGTGACGTCCAGTAGCGCGGAAAGCGTCAAAAAAGCTGTCGAAAAGGTTAGTTTATTACGTATGTGTAATTTTGGGACTGATAGATGCATCCCAATTGAAAAGGTTTCGCGTGCTTCAATAGTTATTCGAGTTTCCTGACGGATCGGGTTCTTGATTGTCCGAATTTACAGTTCTATTTTTTATTCGCTTGATGATTCTCTCGATGCATGAGGCGGAACGCAAATGTGGAAAGATGTTTTTATGCGAATGAAACGATTCGTCGTGAATATACGGTACATTAAAAGTAAATTGAGCGACTGGTTCATCTTAGGTTTCCCATTGGAATATTAGGGCTGATAACTTGGTTGTTTTGTGCAGTAAATAATGAAATTTTAGGCACCGCCTGATATTAAAAATTTGATGATACTCACAAAATCTTGACTGGGATTTTTTGAATAAATTGTAATTCTGAAATTTTTTGTCTAATATTGGTTGAAGTGTATCGCTTTTAGAGATCATCGTGTCGAGAAAGTTCGGAATGAATTGCGACGTAGAATTATGCACATTATTCTAAAATTATAGTCAGGCTGCGTTATTTTATTGCAAATTCTACGAATCTCAAATGATCCCAGTAATGCTCTCGTTACAACGTCGGGGAACCCAGCAATATATGAATTTTAAAATTACCTTATACAGTATATGAAAGTCCTTTTCAAATCTGCTTGTACAGAAGCAATTTTTCGTAATTATAGATATTGTATGAGAAATGGCAACAGATGCGTTTAATATTTCCCTTTGTCCAGAAACCTTACGAACGACCATTTGTTCGCCATTTTGGAGCATACAGTATTTCTCATTATTGACGAATCTTCATTTCGTTTCGCAGATCAAAGAAGTTATTCGTCAAGGAATCGAAGTTCCGGAAGGGCAGAACGATTTGCGTCGAATGCAGCTCCGCGAATTAGCATTGCTGAACGGGACACTCAGAGAATTGGACGGCCCGCGTTGCACGAATTGCGGTGCAGTGACGCACAAGTCTTGGGAGTGCCCGGACAAACCGAACATCACGCACAACGTGGTGTGCAACGCCTGCGGAGGAAACGGACACATAGCCCGGGACTGTCGGTTCCGCCGTGTTGCTCCTCCCGGTGAACCCGAGCAGCAGTCGAAAATCGACGAAGAATACTCTGCGCTGATGGCGGAATTGGGCGAAGCGCCGCCGCCGAGTAAAACTTCATCGGGAGGCGGAGCCTCGAGGTTTGGCGGTCCGCCGATGAATAACTCTGGAGGCTACGGGTACGGACGCGGTGGAGGAATGGGCAATGGACAGCAGTCGTCGGGATTCCGTCCGCGTGCCCCAATGCAGCAACCGCCGCCTCCGGGGGTCGGAGGTAACAGGGGAGGTTGGAGCATGCCTCCGCCGGGTGTGCCGCCCCCGCCTCCGCCAGGAACAGATTATCGCAGCCCGCCACCGCAGTGGCAGAATTACAGTGGCATGTCGCAGTACTCGAGCTACTTAACGCCGCCACCGCCTCCTCCACCTCCGTCGCAGGGACAAGTCGGGTCTGAGGCGTCGGATAACCAACCGGCTATGACGACTGGTCAGAACCAAGGTTGGTGGGGTATGCAGCAACAACAGCAACCGCCCCCACCGACACCGCAGCAACAGCAGCAACAACAACAACAACAACAACAACAACAATGGGGCGGATACATGGGAGTACCGCCGCCATCCATGGGACAGTCTGGAGGACCCGGAGGAAATAGGATCGATTTGAACGTTTTGGCGCAGGCTGGATTGCCGAACCTTTTGGCGGCTCCTCCGCCTCCTCCACCGCCGCCTCAACATTAAAATTTAAATCCACCGAAGTTTTTCTTTTCTTTTTTTTTCGCGCCCCCTCAAACACGTGGTTTAGTACATTATTTGCTTCAAGCACGTCTGTCTTGTTCGTTTTCCAAAAGAAAAGTGTGCAGGAGGTTCCCCTGAAATCATGCGTGGAAGAAAGCGTGATATTTTCTTGTGTTGATCTAATTAATACTTTATACTGAATCTTCATCGAAGTAAATTTCATGTCCATAAATTTGACCGACTATCGAAAGCTTGGAATATGTGAGGAACAACAGCACCGAAGTCTCATTTTTCCATTGATCCGATTTTAAATTAAGTCTAGGATTGAATATTCGTTTCTTCATCGATTATCCAAAGGCATATGAAGGGATTTCGAAAGATTCAAATACACCTTCACGAATTAAAAGATCACTGGGGTGAACTAATATTTCACCATAGCTTAATTGGTTTTGAACACATTTTTGCTCTGAAGGGAACGGCAGCGAACTCAAGGGTAACCACTGATTCATCTTTCGACAGGTTGAAGAACATCATCCGCTGAATAAATGCTTGACGTAGATTGTACCTCTTAACTCTATACACTTCCTCAGGTTTGAATGTACGAAGAAACCCGCAAGACCTTTTGAGCTCTTGTTCTATCATCTTCGACTCCGCATTCCTTTTCGGAACCGTGTTCCTGCGTGTAGAATGTTTTGTAAGAAAAGAAAAATTAGAAAAGAAGGCTATACAGTACATGCTTGTGTGGACTAGAGTAACGAGCAGTGCGTGTTCGGCGTGTGAATGCGTACAATTTTCTGGCTTTTGTATTCTCAGTTTTTCTTTTCTTGTCCTCGGATTGGTTTGAGAGACGCATCCGTTTTATTGTTTCGATTGAGAGTCGCGTGGACGCTGTTTTTTGCTTTCGGAGTTTTATAGGACGATTAGCAGTTTGTTTTCTTTGAGGGGTATGGATGAGTGTCATGCGATGAGGTTATAATATACTACGTGGGTTTTCGACCGTAGTGTCTCTTTTATTATTTTTTGGATGTCAAAAGCTACTACGTTGAGTCTTCATTTGTATTTATTCAATTTTTCAGGAATGTTGAAAGTGTTGGAACTGTGATCATGATGAACTTGGTCGGTACGTTCATGCCAGCAGTGTGACAGCGCATTCTTTATCGGTTTTCGTCACATATGGTTCGGACTGTTCGAGAGACTGGTACTACGGGGTGATAGATTATTTTGTTTTTATTTCATTAAGAATTGCGTGGAAGCTGTTGTTGGCTTTCGAAATTTCTGAGGGCAGTTATCACTTATTCTGTCAGTAATTCAGATAATTTTTTGGAATAATCTTTTGAGCTTTCTCAGTTCTCCTTAAAGTGATGTCCATGTTTGTGAACTGGAATGCGATTGGATTACCAGGACGCGTATATGAAGCGTAATCAAACCAAATAAAAATTGTTCATCAGGCTTGACGGTTTTTTTTATGCTGTCCCTTTTACGTGTGGCTTTGAATTCCTTGTGAACTGTCATCCATCTGAATTATTCTGTTCTTGAGACGCCTATACGGTAATTCAGGATTGTCCGAACAATTTGATTTGCATAACATACTTGACTGAGAGGAAAAAATTTGTGTTGACTTGGAATTTACGGGCTGATTTGTTGTACCTATAAGAATGTTCAGTTTCTGCTTGTATTTCCCTCCTTTAGGAATAAAGATAGTTAAAATGGTGATAGTAACGAGCGCGTTTATCGGTTCGTCCGCCCCGTGCGCGGCGGCATTGTCTACTGGTGTAGCCACCGGCGCCATCAGCGGTGCAACTTTTGGCTCTCTGAAGGCCGCTGCTTTGACCAAGTATTCTAGCGAAGCCATCGTCGCTGCTGCTTCGGCAGTTGGTGGTGTAGCGGGAGGGATGCTTGGATCCGTGGTGTCCGCGAAACTCGGGAATGCGGGGGTCGGAATTATGTCTGATTCCCTCGTGGCGTCCCTTACGGGATTGGGATCTGCCGCCGGGGTTTCGTCGTCTATCTGTCTTTTGCCCTGGATTGTAACTGGGCCTGCGGGTATAGCGGTTTTGGGAGCAAACGGAGTTGAGTTTGATTGCTGGAAGCAGGTATTGCGTGATGCGAGTCCTGAGCCCTCTGGCGGGATTTTGTTGAAGGATGTAGTGCAAGATGCAAGAGTCAAGACTCTGCGCTTTGACGAAGAGTCTAAAGAAATGTTTCTGATGAATATCTGGGATGAAGAATTCCGAATCGATTTTTCAACGCTCGAAGGCTCTGAAGTAATGATAGCACATGCTGTTAGACTTTGAAAATTTCGTTCTGCTTCGAAAATTCTTTTTGTATGGTTTCGTCGAAGATATTGGTGAACTTGTGAGAGTTTCTTACATGTGAGGTAAAGTCATGCACTGATTGGCTTTGAAAATACGAATATCCAGTACTATAGCTTTAAGCTATTTCAAGTGATCCTTGGAACTTTTAACCCAAACGCTGTGCGCTTCGACAGGTTTTGCGCCAGTATCAAAACCCTCATCTTTATTTCACGTAGAAATTATGGGGTAGCATTGAAGTAAAACCTTGTCCCACTCGAAACAACTATGAGTGGATGCGAAAATAGTCGGAGAAGTATCATACCTTGATTTGAACGGGAGTGATTTTGCGAGCTTACGTGCAAATCAATTTTTAATTAAGCTTGTCCGTGTTTCGCCTTTTGTCATCAGGGGTATTGATCAAAAGTACTTTTTATACAAGCAGGAATGAGTTGGCTTTTTATTTAAGCAGCTTTATGAGAATGCTCATCAGCATTCCAGGTCGTTTTAAATTCGTTCGGCGGAACGTGGGAGACAGTATCTCGCATAGTACCATTTTTCGCTGCCCTGAGTAATTGGATCCACAATGGTGACGTCGGAGAAGTGAATAAGCGATGCTTGAATTTTTGTTGGAAAATCGAATGCTGTACGGTATCTTTGTTCGGTAAATTTTACTTGAAATTTCGGATATTTTCTCCCCTCTTCAGGCACAAATTTTCCTTTGTGATCGGGTCGGTCTTATTTCCGTTGAGTTTTATCATGTTGCCGAGAAATTTTTTCGCGTTGTTCCTTCTCGGGTGCGTGACTCTGGTATGTACCGAAGACGCCGAAGGGGAATTGAAGATAGAAGTCTTGTTCAAGCCAGAAACATGTGAGAAGAAATCTGAATCCGGTGCGATGCTCACGATGCATTACACGGGGACCTTGTTAGACGGGAAGAAATTCGATTCGAGGTAATCCTCGTGCTCTTTGTGGTTGCCTTACAGTTGGTCGTAATTGGGTGGGTCGTTTATTATTTTTTAGTGTGGATCGGAATCAGCCGTTTTCTTTCCAACTTGGAGTTGGGCATGTGATCAAGGGCTGGGATGAGGGTCTTACCGATATGTGCGTTGGGGAGAAGAGAAAGCTGACCATTCCGCCGCATTTGGGATATGGTGATGCTGGTGCCGGTGATATCATTCCCCCAGGTTTGTTTTCATTTATTTATATGTCTTTAGTTGGTAGAATTTCCCTGAAGTTACTGTGCCATAAAAAAATTTCTTCATTTACGAACAGAACTGAAATTCCGTGTGTCAATTGCAGTTATAAATTCTCTCGAGTTGGTCGCAGTGTGTCGAAATTATTTTCAATTCGAACCTAGTCCCGAGTTTCATTTGTGTCCTCATGAACTTTTCTGAAAGTTGGGGTTCGAGTTAATTTTCCAAAAATTGAGATATTTCCATTTGACCAGGTATCGTTGAACCTTTTAGGTCCCGTATTTTCACTGATAGTATTGAAGTAGTTTTGTTGATTTGAGAAACCCGGGAATTTTAGATTTGCCGCTGCCCAGTAACTCTTGGATCACCACTTATCCAACTAAATTTTCGCATTGATGCTAATTTTAACTATCGTGCGGTTGGGTTCGATTGTGAATTTTACAAATGAGAGATCGCTCTTATAATTTTGGTTTTCTCGAAGGTGGGAAGGCCGATGCATTTTCTTGGTGGTCATGGGTGATTTTTTTTTTTCTTGGGAAAAAAGTTGAGAAATTGTGTTATTCCATGAATTCGTAGGTTCCACCTTGGTCTTCGAAACTGAGCTGATCGATGTTGGAGATGCACCTCCAGCTGTGAATGTTTTCAAAGACATCGATTCAGATCAGAATAATTTGTTATCCCGAGAGGAGGTGAGTGACATCCTACAATCATCGTGCAGATAATTTCATTTTGAATTGAACTACGACTATCTTACTCTGTTCAGGTTGTCGAATACATCAAGAAACAAATGCCAGAAGGAGAAGCAATAGACCAAGATCCGGACAAGATAACGGAAGAAATTTTCCAGCATGAAGACAAGGACCGCGACGGATTCATCAGCCACGATGAATTTTCGGGGCCAAAACATGACGAGCTTTGAAGAATGGCTCGATAGTAGCCTTCCAAAATGTCAGAAATCTCGTGGATTGTTAATAATTTCAATCATTTACCAATTATCTGCCTCGGATAAACGCGTGAAAGCAGAATATTATTTTCGGAATCAGGAGAATGCCGATTCTTTGTCGAAATGAATCGAGCGGCTAGGTTATTTTTCTGTGAGTGACGTCTTCTTCGTTTTGCTGCATTTGTTGTTGGGATTTTCGAAAACATTATTTTTGGACTGTTGGGGTTTGGGAAACGCGTTTCAACGAGCGGATTTTGTTGCGCATGGTTGGTTGTAACGAGGCAATGGAATGCCGGTGCTCCAGAACAGTTTTCATGAGACATAAACTTGTTCTTGAGATCTCGATCACCGTCTCTTCGTCATTTTGCACATTATTCATGCGGTGCTTTTTGTGTGTGCTTAATGCTGTCTTGGTTTGTTCAGGTGGAGTGAAACTTGTGGCCAGTTGACAGCATGAATCGGATACGGTTGTGGCGATTCTCTGTTTTGATTTTTTTTTCAATTTTCTACTAAATAACTTCTGTACATTTTCTCATTTCCAGATGGTTAGTATACTTTCGAGCACGATTTCGCGGGCTCTGTGTTTGCCATGCAGTCGGCTGGGTTTTAGTCGACTCATGTTGGCCAGCCCTCCTACAAGAATCTTTCCGGTTATTGAACCCGTTCGGGGATTGAAGGTGCTGGGTAAGCCGCATTTGCGGTGTCGGGATTGCTACTTCGAAGTTCGGGACCGACGGTTGTTTGTGATGTGCAAGACGCATCCTCGGCATAAACAAGTTGCCATGAAGAAGCGGGAAGACAAGTATTGGATCCTGACGCATGCCACTCAAAGTCCGAAACGACCGTGGTAGTTTCCGATTTTTTCAATGGATTGTTTCCCTGAGTGCAATCGGACTCCCAACTGGGTTTCGAACGTGTTAGTTCTCGTGAATTAAAGTGTTTTTCGAATTGTTCTTTTTTTTCGTGCAAGTTGAATTTTAGTCTCCATGAGGGTTAACTAGTTCTGGAGCGCGTGTCCCAAAACCGCAGATTTGAAAAAAGTGGCGAAACCGTTGGTTGGTTTTTTTTTCTTATTTCTGAAAAACTTGAATCAACCGTACTGCGTCGTTTGACTCGTAAAATGATTCGTCACTTTTTTCGCAAGCGCTGTGATTAGCTATTCATGATAGAAATGTGTTGGTTTTTTTTTTTCAATGCAGTAATTTTTGCTTACTTCTGCTGTTTTGGGGTATGCACTGTTCTAGACATGCACTGCTTTGAGAAGCGCTCAAATTTTCGATCGTGAAAGGGAGCGAGTGGATTTTTGAAACTCATTTCTTTCCAGGTTTTAATGATGAAAATTGATTGAATGATGATCTCCTTCTGTCCGGCCAATGCGTCCCTGTCGCAGCCGTGGATTAACCATGGGTTATCACCCTGTTTCGTGGATTTCTTCTTTTCGTGCTTCGAGTTCGCGTTCATCACATTTTTCGGCGGGGTCCAGTTGTATTACTTCAGAAAGTATGCTTCTCGGACTGCCCGAAACCTCATCCCAAAGTCGCGACTGTATCAAGTTCAACTCTGGTTGGCGGTTCTTTTCCCAATCGTCGAAGGCATTCGCCAAGGACTTATGTATTACTTGAAAGGGGAGTACTACGGATATGAGTTGGTTTATCTGTTGGCCGTTGCCTATGCTTGGTATTGGTCTGTGCACCTATTGAGGTTGGAAAGGTGCTACATGCTGCCGACTGTTCCTGTGAAGGGCCACGGGCTGGTGCTACTCCTTTTCTGGACTACGGTTTTCGTGAAAGAGAACCTCACGTTTTTGAACCTCAAAGGGCTTCATTGGTGGTTTCTTCTTCGAGAGTGAGTTTTTATGCGGCACAATTCTTCGCTTTTCTTGAAAATTCATAGTGGAATTTTTTTTCATCAGTGAGGTTGACCGAGCTCAGTTCGGATTCTTCGTAGTTCGTTACACGTTCACGTTTTTGGTGTTCGTGCTTGGTATAAAAGCTCCCGGAGTTTCGAATGTACCCGTCGATGTCGAGTCGGAACCTCTTCATGATTCCGATGCCGTAAGTACTCAGAATTTTTCTGCGATTTCAAGACTGTGTTTTCTGATTCGTTTATTGATGCTGATATTAAAACTGAGCGAATAGTTATGATGAATGAAGACATTATTTCCATTTATACCTGGAGTCAGAAAATCCCGCCGCTTATCTTTCTGAATCTTTAGAACTGAGAAATTTAAATATTATTTATATCTTGTTAACAATAAAGTATTTTTAAGTCAAAAGTATACTGCTTCGGGTGTTCTTAGTTGAATTTTTTTTTCATTCCTTGATCAGTCGCAGTGTGTTGAAGAGCAATTTCGAATATACTATGTGATTTTGACTGTTGACGTGAACGTGATCGTGAGACTTAGTGCTCATCAAGTTGTTATCTTGGTTTATGCTGGTTTGGGTCTTATCCGTTTTCATGTCAAAGCAAATACTGAGAATTTCATGCTTCTTTTTTTTTTTTTGCCATGTACTGATGAAATATTTCTTTTCATCTCGGTTTATTATGATGCTACTATGAAAATCATGGTAATGAGAAGTGGGTGGATAATTGAGGATTAAAACTTTTTTTTTTCAGGATTCCGGAGGTTCAACATTCGCCGATGCTTGGCGCAAAATCTGCATATTATTGCCATTCCTGTGGCCGAAAAAGTCAAGAATTCTTCAAATCACGGTCGTCGTTTGCTTCTTCATACTCTTCCTTGGAAGAGCCGCAAACGTTTTGATGCCAATATTCTACAAGCTGATAGGTATGACGTGCTTTCTCGATGGTTGAACTTGATGATGATGCTTCCAATTTAATTTTTAGTTGACAGTTTGTCGAAGCAAGTGGACGGAAGACCAGATCTTTCCTTCCGCTATGACTACATTCTCGGCTACGTGGGATTGAAATTCTTGCAAGGAAGCGTTGGAGGAATTGGGTTCTTTTCGAACATCCGAAGCTTTCTGTGGATTCCGATTCAGCAATACACTGCCCGGGAAGTCCAGGTACAACTTTTCGAACACTTGCACAACCTGAGTCTGCGATGGCACTTGGGAAGAAAAACTGGAGAAGTTCTCCGTGTGATGGATCGCGGAACTCAGTCAATTACGTCTCTTCTGTCGTACATCCTGTTCAACATCATACCCACAGTTTTGGATATCATAATCGCCGTGGTTTACTTTGCGACAGCCTTCAATGTATGGTTCGGTCTGCTTGTGTTCTCCACAATGGCGGTGTATCTCGGTGTAACGATTGCCGTGACAGAGTGGCGTACAAAGTACAGGCGATTCATGAACACGGCGGATAACGACGCCCGAGCAAAGGCAGTTGATTCTGTGCTGAATTTCGAAACAGTGAAATATCATTCCGCTGAAGTCTACGAAGTGAACAGGTACCGCAAGGCCATTTTAGACTTTCAAAGCGAGGAATGGAAGTCGAATGCGTCGCTCAATTTGCTGAACACTGTGCAGAACATCACCATTAATGCTGGATTGCTGGGGGGAAGTTTGCTTTGCGCTTACATGGTAGCCTACGAAAGAACATTCACTGTGGGAGATTACGTGTTGTTCTCTTCGTACATCGTCCAGTTGTATCAGCCGTTGAACTGGTTCGGAACCTACTACAGGATGATTCAGCAGTCGTTTATTGACATGGAGAACATGTTTGATTTGCTGAAAGAGAAGCAGGAGGTGATCGATTCGCCCGATGCGGTGGAATTTAAACCCCGAGCAGGAAGAATAGATTTTAGCAACGTGTCCTTCTCCTATGTTCCGGAGAAGAAAGTTTTGAAGGAAATCAGTTTTTCTGTTCCCCCGGGGACAACATTTGCGCTCGTGGGACCATCTGGTAGCGGGAAAACTACAGTTATTCGACTTTTATTCCGGTTTTACGATGTAAAAGGAGGCGCTATTCAAATTGATGGCGTGGATGTGAGAAGCGTTACGCAGGCTTCGTTACGAGAAGCAATAGGAATCGTGCCGCAAGACACAGTATTATTTAATGATTCCTTGCGGTATAATATAAAATACGGGAAGTTTGACGCCAGTTACGAAGAGTTGGTGGAGGCAGCAAAAGCAGCCGACATCCATGACAGGATCCTTACGTTTCCGGACGGTTACGACACTGTGGTGAGTTGAAATGGGAGAAGAACGACAGAGCAATTGTGCGAATCAGCATTTTTCGTTTGGTTGTGTTATGTAAGGGATGCGCGCTCGTTCGTGCATCTGCTCTATCGGCGATTGCGCACTTTTACGACTGCTTTTTAGTTCGTGCTTTTTGAAAATTAATCTTTAGACTATTCGTTTATGCAGGTCGGCGAAAGAGGTTTGAAATTGAGTGGTGGTGAAAAGCAGCGAGTTGCAATTGCAAGAATGGTCTTGAAGAATCCTAAGTTTATATTTCTGGACGAAGCCACTTCATCGTTGGATACCAGATCGGAACGAAACATTCAAGTGGGTACCGAGATTGCGCTTCATTCTTTTTTCTTCGCACGTTTTAGAGCTTTTTGATTTTTTTTTTCAGACTGCTTTGGCAAGGTTATGTCAGAACCGAACTACTTTGATCGTGGCCCATCGTTTGTCTACGATTATCCATGCCGATCAGATTTTAGTGCTGAAAGACGGGGAAATTGTAGAACGTGGGAGGTTAGTATTCATTTACACTACTGTATATTTATGGGAAAGAACTTCTGTATTGTCGGCTTTTTTTAAATATGAATTGACGAATGAATGATTTTATACCATTCAGGCACGAAGAGCTGTTGGGCATGCAAGGGTTGTACCACTCGATGTGGGAAGAGCAGCTGCAGAACAAAGAAGACGGGAATAATTCCCCGAAAGCCGCGGAAACGGCGGAATAAATGTTTTTCTTTGTTTTTAGCTCGAAAAACTCCGCGCTTGAGACAATGATTAGAATTCCACGAAAATTGAGCCGCGCTCCATCTGTGATTATTGTCATGTAGGCTTTTTTGAGGAGAACCTAACTTGAAGACTCCATAGTCCCTGTCCGAAATTGTGGTACTGTACTGTATTTCCGGTTCGCTGGTGCGATTTCTTCGCGTTGGTATACTGCGCTCGTGTATGAATCTCCCCATCTTCGAAGTCGTGAACACAAAACGTCCTGACGTCCTCTCGATTTCTGTTCACTTGTTCTCAATCTGTGCTCATTTTCTTATTGATTGTTTTCTACTTTTTCTGTTCAGGAAACGAGTTTTTTGCGAAAAGAAAAAAATTAGTGTGAAACTGTGATCAGGTTTCATGTTCAGTGCCGCTAACCTGACGTTTTGATTTTGAGATGATTTTATTTTTTTAGCAAGATTTAAAATTACATTTTTCATATGTGTATTTGGTTGATGGGATGGAATTGAATCTCATTTTTGTCAGGTTTCTTCGGCCAGAAAGTTTCCAAGTCCAAATTCCAAGTGTTCCATGAAAGGAGGAATTTAAATTCCGTCCTCGTATACGTCCAGTTATTTCTCTCGTTCCTTTGTCCGGAAATGTCGGACGCAGCAGCCTTTAACATCGTTCCGCAAGTAATGCCTGCTCCAACAAGCGAAGATGACGCTTCTGCGGGCGATAATGCGCGAAATGGAGGTAAATCGATGAACTTAGACTCACTAAAAAAAAAGACTGAATCGGTTTGCTAATTTTGTTGCTTAATTTGTCAATGCTAGATGCGGTTGATGCCAGTGAAGAGGGAGAAGCGGAGGAGATCGTTCTTGATCCAGAAGCAACGGTGAGGTATTTTCTGAACTTACCATGATAAATTTACATCGACGTCCTTCTGGGCTTTCTGTAATGTCCGACAGATGTCGCTTGAATTATTTTTAATTGATTTAGCGGAATTCAAGCTAACATAAGAGATGCCGATCTGATGCTTGATTGACCTCAAATATGATACCTCAGTATCATGTTCTGATCGGTTATAAAATTTAGAAAACTATGGCTGAACTTCTGAACAATGTAAGAGCTATTACGGAAGAGTGACTTGCAATGTTTCATCTGCCAAAGTATATCCTCTCTAAGCATCGGAGAGAAAAGTTTTTATTTTTTTCTTTTTGGGATTGCGTGGCATGTTTTGTATCGTTGCCGAACATTTCGTAAGTCAACTTGATTCTGATGAAGCCAGTTGACAAAGATTGAAATTCGTAAACGCTACGAAATGCAAGCTAAGACAAAGGGAGAATACATTTTTTGGAGTCGGGGGCCTCCTGACGTTGATGCGGAAAGAAAATACATTTGAATGACTGTTTGGATCATAAATGTAGTGTGTTGACTTGAATCATCGTCGCCTGAAAACTTTGGAAGGAATGGATGCCCTGACGAAGGTTGAGAACTTATCATTACGATGGAACTTATTGAAGAAGATCGAGAACATTTCTTCATTAACTACGCTCAGGGAGTTGGAGCTGTATGACAACCAGTTGACGAAGATCGAAAATCTGGAAACCTTGGTCAACTTGGAGTGAGGAGATGGAATTCAGGATTTTTACAGAAAATAGTTCGCTTGTACAATACTGTATTTTTTCATTTCTTCTAATAGGGTGCTGGATCTTGGCTTCAACCGTCTGAAAGTGATCGAAAACCTTGGTAGTTTGACAAAGTTGAAGCGATTATATTTGTGTGCGAACAGAATTGAAAAGATTGAGAACCTGGAGTCTCTGTCCAACCTAGAACTTCTGGAGCTGGGAGATAATCGCATTCGGGTGAGTTCGGAAACGCGATTCTGACCCACAAAAAAATCATATCAATATATATTTTTTCCTCTGCTTTATTTTTAGAAACTTGAAAACCTGGATGGCCTAGTGATGCTCACCCAGCTGTATGTTGGGAAAAATAAAATCACGAAGCTAGAAAATCTTGGTCTTGAAAAGTTGACGATTTTGAGCATACAAAGCAATCGTTTGCGAAAGGTTGAAGGCTTGGAACGTTTGCGTAACCTCGAGCAACTGTATCTATCTCACAACGGCATTGAAGTGATCGAGAATTTGGAAGAAAACCTAAATTTATCAACTCTGGATGTTGCCAACAATTTGTTGACCTCTCTGAAAAATGTTTCACACCTGACGAAGCTCGAAGAATTTTGGGTAAGTCGCGGAGGAATCGAGGGATATTTTCGCAATATTTCATGCGACATTTTTCTTGCAGTGCAACGACAACCAAATTTCGGATTGGAATGAGGTGGAACAAGAACTGAAAAGCATGACTCAAATAGCGACTGTCTACTTGGAACGGAATCCGATTGCGAATGATCCCGCGTACCGCCGGAAATTAGCAATGATATTACCATCCCTAAAGCAGATCGATGCAACCATGTGCAAACCGTGATTCTTGTATTGCATGACTGTTATTCAGGCATTTCGACGCCACACGATTGTACGTGAACAAGTGTAAACAAATGTTTTTGTACAGTGTTACCAGAGCTCCGTTTTTTATTTATTTTTAGTGTCTCGGTCTTTTCTTGAATCCCGTTGGTCGTCGAAAACAAAATCGCAGCACTCCACACCTTGACCTCGAAGTTCCGTTTGATATTCGATGTCGGGTGTTATTTTTAAGCACACTGAATGCAACATTCAGTTAAACCTCTGCGCGTTTTATTATAATTTTTTATGGGATGTCAGGAAGTTTTTTTCTGGTAGAATTCTGAACATGCAAAGCATGGATTGCAGACAGGTAACGTGCCAGTAGTTCGCGTTTTTGCACGACTCGGACTCGACGTCGTGCTGCTTAATAAACACTGCTATTGTTTCCCGATATGTGTGAAATGACTTTTATTTTCCGTAATACAATCCTAAAAGATGGAAATGGGTTCTTGCGGCAGTTCCATGTTGCCTTCCTTAGCGGCTAATATTCTACGCTATTCACGGAATTCGTGGATTCCTCATTTTCCGTAAGTTCATGTACTGTATTACGCAGTATGTTTCATTGGAACCTATGTGACAATGCTTGCGCTAGGAGATGCTTATTGATTGAATGGTTTGTTTGTTTCTGGGCCCGTTAAGGGTACAGATCAGTTAATTCAATGTGTGCCCCTATCAAAGTGTATTGAACAAGTTTTCAGAAGGAAGTTCATAACAAAACTGTGGTCCCATCATTGGAGGATACATTTCTGCCGTCTTTCCAAAATTGATGGGGATTCATTGCTGTGTTACACAAAAGAGTCCTGAAATGTACCGTATTTACATATATAAGACCATATGAATACTGTTTCGTAATTGGTTTGGACACTTCTTCATGATAGATCCTTAGTTAGCATTCTTTTGTTTATACCCCTGTAAATTTAAAATTCCACATGATATATCTATACAGTATACTGCGCCTTGTTAATCATTAAATGTACTGTATTACAGGACGTCCACACAGCACAACGCGAATACAGTACTGTACTGTACTAATGAAAGAGCGCATCACAGTACTGTGAATGGAGGTTGAACACCTGGAAATTGGTTGTTGAACTTGCCCACCAAAACGTGGCGAACGCCAAGTCTGCACCTGCCGCGTAACATGGATGCTTTCGTTTATCCACGTCGCTGGGTTCAAGTTGCAGAAGCCCTTCTCGAGTCGAGGTTGGGTTGGTTACTCATGGAAATTAAATTCGTGGAAATTGCGACTTTTGATTTGTGCTGACATACCTTTACGATCGCTCGTCGTGGAATGAGTTTCTAGCCTTTAGATAGCTCTTGGGAGTCACATTGTGACGAGTGTCAGAAGTTCGCGCCTTCCAGACTCTAATTCGCAACTCGAATTCATGAGACTGCTCCGAAGGGTACCTTATGATTTCTCGATGATTCGATCTCATTTTATTGCAGATCACCTTATAACGACTGCAAACCACAATGGCGGACACAGCTCCAGCCCGTGGAGGATTCCGAGGAGGTTTTGGTGGCCGAGGCCGCGGACGTGGTGGCAGAGGACGTGGTCGCGGACGCCGAGGAGGAAAGGAGGGGGATAAGGAATGGGTCCCAGTCACGAAACTCGGCCGTCTCGTCAAAGATGGAAAGATAAAGAGTTTGGAAGAGATCTATTTGTACTCTCTGCCCATCAAAGTAAGTTTGCGTCTATCACAAATTATCAGTCCTTCGTTCACAATTTTTGTTTTTCAATTAAGGAGTTCGAGATCGTGGACTTTTTCCTTGGGTCATCGTTGAAGGATGAAGTGTTGAAGATCATGCCCGTACAGAAACAAACTCGTGCCGGTCAGCGAACTAGATTCAAGGCCTTTGTTGGTAAGTCGATCATATGGTTTTCGGATTTTTCCATGTATTGATATACTACGTCATTTGCGCAGCGATTGGGGACTACAACGGTCACATTGGACTTGGTGTGAAATGCAGCAAGGAAGTAGCGACTGCAATTCGCGGAGCTATAATTCTGGCGAAATTGTCCGTTATCCCCGTGCGCCGTGGTTATTGGGGTAACAAAATCGCGAAGCCTCATACTGTTCCTTGCAAGGTTCGTTGAACTAACTGAAGTGTCGACAACAATATCTTGATTGTAATTTTTCCTTATAGGTTGTTGGGAAGTGTGGTAGCGTTCTCGTTCGCCTGATCCCGGCACCCCGTGGTACTGGTATCGTTGCTGCTGCAGTGCCGAAAAAATTGTTGCAGATGGCTGGAATTGAAGACTGTTACACGTCAGCCAGAGGATCGACGTGCACTCTTGGCAACTTCGGTAAATCTTCTATTAATGTCATACGAAGGAAACCGGGTTTTATGCCGTATACTTTCGAACCTTGCTCCCACGAAAAGCAAATTTAATTTTTTTAATGTAGTTAACGATTTTATCATCTTGCCTTTTTTTTTAGCGAAAGCAACATACGCTGCGATTGCGCGCACGTATGCGTACTTGACGCCGGATTTGTGGGAGGAGACGCGATTCCAGAAATCACCGTACGAAGAGCATACGGATTATCTGGCCAAGCATCACAAGCCGCTTGGCACTCAGCGCCAAGAACAGAAAGTGTACTGAGAGTTCGACTTTCGAGCGCTAGAATAAAGTGAACATTCTGGAAATTGTTGCTTCGTTTGATTGTATCTTACAGTTACCATGGGGCAGTTAATTGCCGTTTCAATGCCCGCCTTTTCAGATTCTTGTTCAGTGATTCAAGTGGGATCGATAACATGCCGTACAGATGGTAAATAGCTCCTCGCTGTGCGTATAGGTTGAATTCCTTGAGAAACATATATTCGCTGCTGGCTTCTAAGATATTTTTCTATTGGCTGCATTTAAGTGTTATAAGTGCAAATTCAACTTTGATGAAAATATGAGAAAACAAAATCAAGGGCCCATGAAGAGTATCAATTTTGTGATGGAATTGAACTTGACGATTTAAAATTGTTCGTCGATAACATTCAAACATACGATCCTAAGATAGATCGGTTGAGTACGTCCGTGTGTAGATAATCTTCTGGACTGGTTCAAGTAGGTATCGTCGTGATCACAATCCTCTCCGATTAGGTAAATTTTTTGGTAATTTCTCTTATTTAATGCATTAGGAAAGCGAGGCAGCGGAGATATCCCGTTCTCACTCACTTGGAAGCTTGTTCTTCCGATCCTCTGCGATCTCCTCGTGTAAGTCGATGGTTTTGGACTCCATGAAATTCTACCGTACAGAGCAACTCCCATGTTTTCAGGATGTTGGATTTGGCATGAAGCAGTCGCTCAGTGCAGCTGCGTTATCTTCCAATGCCGACATCCGCCCGTTCAGCAAAAATGTGAAAGCTCCTGTCACTGGTGGTCTGGTGACTGCCTACGATCCATTTACTGCTGCGATTGAAGGCTCTGATCCTTTGAGTATGTTTGCTGCTGAGGAGGATCAGTCTTTCTCCGTGGTAGGAAAACATTTTTTCTTATGTGAAACGAAGATGAGCCGTTATTTCTCTGAGTTCATTTATGCCATAGCTAGATACATTTCGTCACCCTGGGTAAATCCCCCGGTTTTTTTGGCCCGAGTTACTTTTGGAATATATTTATCATCGATTTTTGCTCATGACAATATGTTCAACTGAATTCACGGGTTTTTGCTCTGTACGTACCCCTTAAGCATTTGAGTTCGATATCCTTCGGAAAGTAAATATGTCCATAGTAGTTCTGGATTGCAACCGAAGTTTCAGGGAACTACTGCTTGACCATAGCGTGCTGTAATATGTAATTCTTGTAATTAGCCATAGCATCCTGTTTAGACGGATGCTTTTCTATACCTAAAGTATTTTTTAGGAAGGTCTCGTGTCGATATTATTAATATTCATCGTGGACGTTGAGCCTTTAAAATTGTAATTGCTATCGGTACGTCACGTGTGAAAGTATCGTTCTGCTAGATTGTGGGCCCTCAAAATACAGAATTTTTCCTGAATTCATACAATTGTAGTTTCTTAAATTTTTAATTACTGCACAGTCTCAAGGAACCTTGAACTGGTAATTGAGGCATGAGTAATCAAAAGACTCACGATTCTGGAGAAATGTAATGAAGATCGTATTAAAGTCGGACATTAATATTAATTTTTTATTACGCACAAAAAGTGAAGATTCGTCCAATATTATCAAGATTTCCATTAAGAGGTCTGTAGGATTGAAATACCGTTATGAGCCCTGTAATTGTTTCGTGAAACATGATGTCGCGACATTTTGTCCTGAGGAAGTCCCTATACGCCCTTCGTTGAAAATAAACAGGTTGTCTCTATTCAAAGCTCCGTTCTGTATAAAGACGAATGATTTTTTTTAGACTCAGCGGATGAGCCACGTCGTTGATCCGACACCAAGGGTTGGGTTAGCATCCTCTGCAAAATTATCGCAGGATCATCTTGAAGGGCTAGAGCCTTGGCATGCTCGTAAAGGTGGCATTCTGGCGAAGTACACCACTTCAGAGAAGCTTTCCTTTGTCACAAGCTTTCTCACGGGAGGAGAGAAATGCGAGTGATTCATTGGAAAAAATTGGCGTTTTTTTTGTTTACCATGAAGAATACGTGAATTTTTTCCTTTTATTGAATAGTGGTTGTGACGACGACCGATCTTGTGAAAACGCATCTGGAGCAGCTGGATGACATCGAGGAGGGCTCCGTAAAAGAAATGTTGAATCTCACTCAGCAGGATTATGTGATCCGTATTCAACAATTGAACACTGAGCTATCTCATGCGTGGTCGACTGATCAACGAGTGAAATCCTTGAAAATAGCTATTCAAGTTAGTTACATTTTTAAAATTATCAGATGAATCGTTTTACTATACTGTATTGATCATACTCTTAGTGCGCAAAACTTCTCACTACACCCGACGTCCTGAACTTCTATCCGAGCAAATTTGTCTTGGTTACGGATTTGCTGGACAATTTCGGGAACTTGGTGTTCAATCGACTCAAAAACAAGGAGTTGGAATGTTCACATACGTAAGAAGTCTTTCTTCAAGCGCATTTTGTGAATGACGCGTAATATTGTCCGACTTTGATTCATCAACAGATAAAGGGTCTGTAATATAGATTCGCAGGGAAACGGACAATCCCCCCGATTCTAATCCCCCCACCTCTATTCCCCCTGCTCTAAAATCCCCGATCCTAAAATCCCCGACGTTTATTCCCCCTGGTGTCTAATTGCCCCGAAATAAAAATCCCCTCTCACTAAAATCCCGGAAAATGCAAAATATCACCAAAAATGAAAAAAAATTTACAGATGTAAAATTCATTGCTTGAATTGAAATCTGTTCTTTTTTCCCACCAAGTACAGCGTGAGCATACGAGGGTTCTAACATAAGTTCTCGGAATGAAAATGAAGATGGCGTCTAATCAAGCTGGAAAAAAATTATTCTTTAGGGCAACCATATTCTTTGG